AACCATCTAAGACGACTTTCTCTAATTTTTTCCGTCACAGGAGCTACACCAACCCTATCACGGATATATTCATTTCGCATTTTGTATCTAAGTGTAAAGCCACTCGTCCACCTAATCATTCTCATATCGGCAACACTTAACTTATTAGTATGCTTCTCTTTTAAAGGCCAACATTCAGCGCCATAGAGCTTGCAGGTCTCACCACCGTCTTATAAAATTTTTCTTTCAGTCTAAACAGTACTTTTCTATCACACAAAAGCCAGAAGCACTCCTCCACTTCAACCAACCAACTTGAATTCTACTATTAACATCCCCATCTATATCGCCATCGCTTTGAACAACGGACCCAAGATATCTAAATCGATCACACATTTTAATAATTTAATCACCCAAAGTCATAATTCTGTCACTAGAGCTATTACTACGAAAATTACATTCCATGTATTCAGTTTTAATTCTACTTAGATGAAGGCCTTTGGACTCCAATGTAGACCTCCTTAATTCAAGTTTTTCCTGGGTTTTTTCTCTCGTTTTATCCACGAGAAGGATATCATCAGAAAAAAACATACACCAAGGTACATCCTCCTGTAGATGTCCAGTAAGACCATCCATAACTGAAGCAAAAAGATATGGGCTTAAAGTCTATCCCTGATGTAATCCAACATAAATAGGAAAATATTTGATCAATCCTCCTTCAGCTTGAACACAAGTAACAACTCTAGTATACATAGTTCTTTGTGCAGCAGGCACTCTTCCGGAGCCTTTCTCTTCATCAAGCCCTCATCCGAAACTTTTTCCTGTATCAAACCCTCCTCTAGAATTTTTTTCCAGTAGCAGACCCTTCTCAAGAATTTTTTTGTCGCAGACCCTCCTTCAGAGCATTTTCTTGTATTAAAACCTCCGGAACTTTCACTACAACAAGCCCTTCACCTGAATTCTTTGAGCAGCACGTTCTCCTCAGGAGCCTTTTCCTGTAGCGAGGCCTACCTCCTGAGTTTTCTTCTACAGGTCATACCCTGCAATTTTTCCTGTTGATTGTCTACTTCCTTGCAACCTCCCTGTAGCATTACTTGTAGCAGTCTTCCACCTACCTATAGACACTGCAGGAACTGCAGTCAAAGACAACCACTGTCAACTAGGAATAAGTCATTTCCTATATGTTGTCTACTTTACTGCAAACTCCCCAGCAACATTACATGTAGAAGCCTTTTGTCTACTTATAGATACTGTAGAAATTGCAATAAAAAACAACCACAGTTGACTACTTCCCTGCAAATTCCCCTACCAAATTACCTGTAGGTAGGCAGCTTTCCGCTTACCTACAGACGTTGCAAGAATTGTAATCAAAGACAACAACAAGTATCTACTTCCTTGCAAACTGCCTTGTAGCATCACATGTAAGAGTCTTCCGCCTACCTACAAAAACTGCAGGAACGACAGTGAAAGACAACCGCAGTACGGGATGAAATATTCAAGTTCTACTTCACGTGATCTCCTTCGCCCATTGTTTGATGTTTTCAAATCCATGTTGAATAGAGTTTTCAATAATGTTTCAACTTGAGGGGAAGTATTTGAAGTTATATTAGAAAATACTTTATTCCTGTGAGAAGTTATGAGAAATAAATTATCCTCATATTAAGGTTTATTTCATTGTTTTCCTATTTTATGTTATTTTATTTATCTCCTAATATATGAATTGATTATTGGAGATATTAGATGATATATATTTTTTTCATATTATTTATTTTACACTATCTTTCATATTCTAGGATTCATGTAAGGGTTATTTATATCCCCTCTCATATCAATGAAAAAACCACTTTATTCCGCATTATTCTGAATTTCGACAACTATGATTAACACTTTAAAAATAATTCCAAATCATTAAATGCATCTAAATTGGGTATATTGTGATCAAAGTTTTAAAGCACTCTTCACGAGCAAAGTAAAGCGAAACGTGTGACGCCCGTTTCACTTTATTAAAGTGCGGTTCGAAGCGCTGAAGTTAATTTACAATTTTTAAGTTTTTGACTATTACAGCACACTATTAGATATTGTTTGAAATTTAACTAGCAAGCTTACCCACAATCTTTGCCTATAAGTTATGTATTGTACTATTTTTTTTTATTTTATATCAACTTTTAAGTCATACTTTATATTTTATAATTATTAATGAACATATTAATAGTTTTATATAAGCTACCAACACTTTGATTAATAAAAGTGTTGCTTGGCTCTGTGCTTTGCGCTTTGAAGCAAAAATAAAGCTTTGCACATCGTATTGTTCTTTAATAAAACTGGCTCTGATGCGGGACTACATAATTTACTAGACATCAGCTGTGATATGTGATCTCAATTATATAGAGGTCAACATAACTTAGGCAAGTATGATCACCAAATTATATTTCATATTAAATTTTAAAGACCTCATATATATTCCTCACCCCCTCTCACATTCCTTACTTTGTATTCAATTGGTGGTATCAAAACCATCATTCATCTATTTTGCTTGCAAAAACGTCAACAACTTGACCTCCTTGTATTCACACCTCATCATGATTGTTTCACGTGACCTCTCCCAGTCTCTCCTCCTACATGCAATTCTCCAATTGTCAACAAAGCGCAACAAATAATACTCCATGCGCCACGCTAATACTTGTGCTTCTCACGTGCTTCACCCAACATCATTGTCTTATCAGCCACACACAACTTCAATCCCATTGTGCGCCTCACCTAACACCACATCCTCGTTCATCCAATGCAAGCACCCTTGCATGTATGCTTGCTCAATTATCACTCATGTCCTCATCCAATTTCTCACACAAATTTGCTATCCCATGTGCACAATTGTCCCTCATGACATGTTGTATGCACCTACTCAATCCAGTCATGTGTGTCGCTCCCTCCAGTTCAGCCTTGCTCCCCCACTTGATTGGCACTATAGCTTATGTTCCCTAACACATGCAAACTCCATTCTCGATCTCATTCACACCACTTTCTTCTACCACTTGCATGCCCCTCACCCAATCCCAATCGTAGATGTGCATCTATTGATTGTATTTGCCTCTTAAGCATCACACAATCTCCAAATGATTCCAAAGTTCTCTATTTCCTAATGTGATCTCACACTAGTTGTAATTCATCCAATAGGAAGCATAATAATATTTTAGTATTTTTACTATTTATCTCATATCATCCTAGTCATTTGCACGTTTTGCATAAAAGTACTTGCAGAAAAATAATTGTTAATTATGAAAATCATAAGTCTATTGAAGACAAAATTGAGGTATGTAAAATTTAAACTAGGTGATAAAGTAATATTTTTTTGCATCCTGAAATATCTCCTATATGATATTTAAAGAAAATACTTGCTAGGAAAGCAAGGTCATTAGAATTATGCAATGCATTGGAACAAATACGTATAATTTGAAATTTTTTAGATGTTTTAGAATTAGTTCAATCCTAAGTAGATTTAATTTGACATCATATCATGAATTTCCAACCAAAAACTTGGATTCTTTACTTCGAAACTACCATTGGAGAGTATTGTTGTTTATAAAGAGTGTCATTGCTTTATAATCCTTAATTTCTATGTGAGATCTAGGTTAGATGATGGTTAATTTATTGTCTGCACATATCTAGCGTTTCATTTTCATCTAGAGTAGAAAATAAACATCTAAATTATAAGTTTATAATAGCAAATTTGACCTAGTGTATGTGATTTGGGGCATCTCATCCGATGTCTTGTATCACATTGTAGTTGTGCTAAAGGAACTGAATAGATGCCAAAAATTAATAGAATTACACTCACTTTTTGTTGCAAACTAAATATTGTAGTATCTCATTTGATGTCTTGTATCACATTGTTGTTGTGCTAAAGAAATAGAATAGATGCCAAAAAATTAATAGATTTACACTCATTTTCTGTTGCAAACTAAATATTGGAAAGCTTTGTAAGTATTTACTCAACCACTTTGGATTTGACCAATCAACCATTAAAGAATACAAAACAAAATAAACAGCACAAAGAGTGCTGTTTTTAAAATTATAACAGCTTGGTGACACATTTACAATATTTGAACTGCACCATGGGTCCCTAACCTTAATATTTTCCCAAAATGCACAAGTTTGCGGATTTTTTAAATACCAGATAAAACTGTCCCTGAAACAGCATATAAAATGCTTTTTTTATCATAGTTCTAAGATTTTACCACTTATCAGCAATACAAAAAAGAAACTGGCAATGGTGCTAGAGTTTATAGTGACAAATATTTTGTGCACTATAAAATATGAATAATGTCATAATTATTTAGAATCCCCAATAATCATGTTCATTTGGCATAAAAGCTGATCAGATCACTCCCCAATAATCATGCTCATCTGGAGAGGAATAATTTCTTAATTTCATTATTAACGTGTAAGGTGCATATATATAGGGAAAACAATTCCTCCTATGTTATAAACTTATCAAATATATCTAACCTAAATTAGGAAAGAAATAATTCTGAAAAAAAAAAAATGACATAGAATAGGAAGGGAATAAACTAATCAAGGGGTTTCTAAGTTGTCTCAATCAAATCTTTCAGGATTTGGAAGTGGCCGGCCAGCCCACACGAGAGAGAGCAGGAGGGGCACACTTAGAACACAAAAAAACTTTAAGTTTTCACTCCTCTCAGAGTAGAAACAATTTGAAAAAAAGGCAATCAAGCGTCAAGCAGTACAAAATTCCACCATCATAATACATTATCCCTGCAAAGTATACTAATAAACTAAAAATGTTGATAGATAAAAATCTATCTCAGTCAAATACAACCATAACAAAAGCCTTGCATGACATATCCGTAAACCGTGAAATTTTCACCTTTTGAATTGTAGTATTGATTCTCGATATCAACATCCTGCTCCTCGGGTTCCTCCTCCGAGTACTCAAAACCATAATCCTCCATATCAGCATCTGAAACCAGAAAAAACGTCCCCAAAAATAGATAAAGCACTATAACAAAATTCAATAAAATACAAAAGGATCTCACAACTTCTTACAGAGCAATCTAGTAAAACTAATGACCAAAATATCATCGATACGAAAGCAGACAATTAAAAACCATCAAATTCAACCAGCTACTGCAACCCAATGAATCATTTCCACAAATCTGGCATTGATGAACAGAGGAAGAACAGTATAGGATGAGGCTTTTTTAAGCCCAGAGAGTTGACGAGAAAGAGCTAGAGAGGTCGCAGCGACAAACCCTAGAAAACTGAATAAGGCTTACCGGAACCCATGGTTCGCGTGGCTGCTTCACCAAAGAAGCGGAAGCTCCAGTTCAACAGGGAGAACAAGACCACGAGCAGGATGAGGGTTCCTCGCAGAGTGTGGAAGTGATTGCCACCTGAGCAAGGAACCAATACGAGCAAGGAAGCGAACTCCGGTTAATCTAGGAGAAAAGGAAATGAGAAAAAATTGCTGTTTACGTTTAAGATAATTACATAAACAGCACCAAAAATATTAATATTTACAAATCTAACACTTAGGTGCTATTTTAAAGTGATTTAAATGCATAAAAAATCAAAATTTTATGCTTTTTTTATATTTTACACTTAATTTTTATTATGTATATTATGTACATATATAGCTTTTAAAAACAAAATAAATAGGAAAATAAAATTTATTCAACTCTTTACATCATTGTAAAATTTGATCTCAATTTTAATCGAAGTCGTCTCTTTGGAATTGGCCTCTTTTAAAGCTTGGTCGGTTGAGACTCTTCGGACATAAAAAGAGAAGATGTACGTACATACCACTTAGTGCCTATGTATTTATAAATCTAACACTTAATATTTGATTCTTGCATGCATATCATCTTACCTATGCATGAGAATGTATTCTTCACATTTTAAAGTTAAAATGACAATACTTTTAATGTTGTATGAAAGATTTGAGTGATATGAATATAAAAAATAGGCTTAACATGTTACATACATAAATGCATAAGAATCGAGTGGTTATGTAAATGCCCCGACAAGAAATTTTAATCATAATGATGGAAAGCCACTCCTTTGATCTTGCACTCATCCGCAACATAGAAATTTAGAGTTTAGTTTCTCACCATGAGGCAATAGGTTTAAATGGTTTTGAATTCAAATAGTTTGCACAAGTTTAAGCGGATTTATTACTCCAATGAGTAGCCCACGAGTAATAAAAAATTATCTTGCATAAAGGGGTATTGCAATACAACAACAACAATAAGCCTTTATCCTATTAAATGGAGTCGATTATATGAATTTTTTTTCTCCATTGTGTCCTATTGAGTGCTATATTTTCATTTAATTATAATAGATTAAGATCATTTTTTATACAAAATGTTCAAGTTTTCTTAGGTCTACTTCTGTCTTTCTCAACATAAGTAGAATTTAAAACATCTACTCTACTAGTCGGATTATTAGAAGGTTAACGTTAATGTGATCAAACCATTTTAGACGACTCTCTCTAATCTAATCTGCCACTTGAGCTACACCAATATTTCCATGAGATAGATATGTTTTGCAAGTGTCAAGTCGTTCATCCACATAAGCATTCTCATCTCAACAACACTAGCTTTGTTTAATGCTTCTTTTTTAAAGGCCAACATTCTGTACCATAAAGCATTCCAAATCTCACCACCATCTTATAATTTTTTTTCTTTAAGTTTAAGCGCAGTTTTATAACACACAATAGGCATGATGCATTCCTCCACTTCAATCAATCCATCTGAATTTTACTAAAAACATCCCCATCTATATCATCATCACTTTCACTAAGAGATCCAATATATCTAAAATGATAACACATTTTAATGATTTGATCACTCATAATTACAATTTTAGATATATTCAAACTAAGGTCCTTAGACTCCAATGTGTATCTGCTACTAGAGCTACTATTACTAAAATTATATTCCATGTATTCAATTTTAGATATATTTAAACGAAGGTCCTTAAACTCCTATACAAACCTCCATAATTCAAGAATTTTCTGAACTCTTTCTCTAGTCTTATCCATGAGAAAATATCATTAGCAAAAAACATACACCAAGGTGCATCATCCTGCAAATGTCAAGTAAAAGCATCCATAACTAAAGCAAAAAGACATTGGCTTAAAGTCGATCCCTCATGTAATCTAACTAAAATAAGAAATATTTGGTCAATCCTCCTTGTGTTTGAACACAAGCTATAGCTCTAGAATACATATCATTAATGACTTTAATATAAGTTATATCAAAACCTTTTTTTTTAGAACTCTTCGAAGAATTTCTCTTAGAACCTTATTGTATGTGTTTTCTAAATCAATAAAAATCATTCATAAAACCTATTTACTCTCTTTATATTTCTTCATCAAACCTCTCAATAAATGTATAGCATTCATAGTAGACTTGCCCGACATAAATCCAAATTGATAATGAGAAATCTTTGCATCATGTATTAACCTAAGTTCAATTAAAATCTCCTATAAATTTAAAGTATGACACATCAACTTAACTCATCTATAAGTTGCACACTCTCGTGCATCCCCTTTATTCTTAAAAATAGAAATAATTCCTCTACTTTTCAGGCATCTTTTTAGTTTTTAAAAAAATATTAAAGAATTTAATAACTAAAAAATTCTTACATATCCTAGGTATCTTCAAACTTCAATTAGGATATCATTAGGTCCTACTGATTTTTCACAGTTAGGGTTTGTTTGGGACAATTCCAACTTATTAATAAGTTGTTGATAAGTAGTTAATTCAGATAAGCTATTGATCGGCAATTGATCTTGGTAAGCTGGTTGGCTATTTGTTTTTTTGTTGTTGGAAAACAACAGTTTTTGTAGCTGTTTCTGGATAAATGATCATTTTGTCCATGTGCAGTAATGTTGTTTGCAACAGAATTGTCATAGCAATATATATGATACTTGAGAAGCAAAAAATCACTTCAAAACAGTACAAACAATAACATACATACCTCACTCAACAGTGAGTATCAAGATTGCTAAAAAAAGGAAAAAAAACTATTAAAATTACAATTAAAAGTATGATAATATTAATTTTAAAATTCATACAGCGTATGTCACGAGCAACCTCGTACCTAGGGATACCATACAACCTTGATCACTATCGGTAGTGGAATATGTCGAACTGTCTGCCCCTGGAAGAAGTCGCACTTCTCCATGACGCCCTGCAGACACCTGTAGAAGTGTCTCCCGTAGCTATGTGCCCTACCTGACGTCAGTAGTGAAGTCTATAGTCTGTAGTGGGGGAGCACTCATCGGGAGGTCGCTGAAATTCTAAATCTCATCTTTTCTGAATGATTCAAAAGGCAATCCATTAGTTATAATAGAGTTGAAATTGCTAACATAAGTAATTAATTACAGTTTTTTGTAGGCGTGAAGTTTTAGAGAACTCAGTACACCAACAAAGGAATATGTCACTACAAGAAGTCAACATACCATGTAAAAAAAGGATTCTTGGTTACCTTTAGCTCACTTAATACCAAGCTCGTGTGTGTCACATATGCATATCACCAAGACAAAGGCCATCCAAAAGTACGTAAAAAACCACTGCATCAAAAAGAAGAGAGGAATTTGCTTGTTTTTATCAAGATTACACATGTGACACCAACAATGACTAACAGACCATGAACCGCCAATCCATTAGTCACCAAGACAATGACTAACAGACCATTCAGAAGAACCCACAAGATCGAACTTCTCATCACAGACCTTATAAATCCATAAAAAAATGAAAAGAAATCGAAAAGGAAGGAAAAATAATTACAAACAGCATAAAACTTACAATATCTAAAATATCAATAATCAATAGACATAAAATAAACATGCACTTTATAAATTGACAAAAAGAGTAATCAATTATAGTTTTATGCAGGCGCGAGGACACAAAATACTAAGTACACCAACCCCATCAAATATTTCATAATAAGAAGACAACAGAACTTATAAAACAGGGGTTTTTAATTGTCTTTAGCTCGCTCAATATCAAGCTCGTGTATGTCACATATGCATATTGATACACCAAAAATTTATGCATTTTTAGACCAATATTTTATACTCATTTTTGGTGATATTACACCTTAATGGACTGTATTTTTATGTTTTCTTGCAGTTTGTTGATTTTTAGGACTTGAAGCAAAAAAGAAGCAAAAAGGATGGAATTTAGAGTCAAAATAGCATTTTTGAAGAAATCCCCAGCCCCGACGACACCTTTTGACTCAGCACCGACAAGAAATACTCAGCACCGACGACACCTTTTGACAGAGAAGGCGAATTTAATTAAATAGTTTCTGGCGTCGATGATGCCAATGTCGGTTCAGACCTTGTTTCTAGAAGATTCGACAAATTTGGAGACCTTGTTTCTAGAATATTCGACAAATTTGGACGCTTTTTGAAGAGTTTTTGGATGCGCTTTATTTGGAACCGACTCTACGCTTTATTTGGGGCCGAAATTGACAGAAAAGGCTCTCATCCTCATTCCAACTAGCTCATTTTTGCCACACCTCGCCTCCATTCACTTTTTTCATTTTCATTTCACCACCATTCAGGAGTCTATTAGTGATTTTTCTTTAAGAGTTTAGAGTTTTTGTGATGAGATTAAGTGTGAATTTTTCTCTAAGAGTACTGAAGAAGGACAAAAGTGAGAGATTTCTTCTTCCTACATTTCCTAGAAGAGACTACAAGGGATTTTTTTGAGAAAGAGTTTCAGATAAGTGTTGTTTGTTTAGTAGTGTTGTATGAAATTTCTTTTATATATGAAATTTGTGTTTTGTTGTATCTTTCTTATGAAGTCTGAGTAGTTTTCTTTATCTTTCTCCCTACTATGAGATATGATGAAATGAAGAGATAATATGGATGTGCCAATATTAAAATATAAAATAAATTGTGATGATTTTTTAACTCCAAACTTAATTTACTTTTTGATTTGGTCAATTGAATTATTAAAATGTGTTGTGAAACATATGATCCGGGAAATAGAGTATGAGTTCTACAACAAAGTGAGGATCACATTTGATTCCATGAAGAAGTATTTCGTTCATGGAGTTATGTGCAAGTAATTAAGGAAATATACATTGTTAAGTGTAGAATTGGAGATTTCAGGGTGACAAACTAAAATCCTTAATTCGATCTTAGTGTTTAAATATTAAAGAGAGAGTTAGTTTTCAGGTGAAGGGAAGTGGGTGCTCTGAAGTGGGAGTCAGTATCCTCCTAGCCTAGCCACAGATTTAGGGACTAAATCTGGGATTAGCCAATGATTTTCTATAACATTGTATTAGGGTAGAGAATTAAAATTGCTTTTATTTGGCATAATATATATTATAATCATTTATCCCGTCTCATTTTACCAAAATCTCATTGTAGTGGGAAAGATATTTTTTCACATAAGAAAACTTCATCACATAAACATA